CTACTTTTGTGTTAACCAAAATTTCAACGTGTTGTAAAAGTGATTCTACGACAGTGGTTCTCCAACATTCTAGCTCGCGAACCAATTTTGTTGAAACTTTTTTTTTGAAATACAAACCCAGGCCTAATTATAAGAAACGAAAAAAACAAACAACAACAAACATCTAATAATAAAAATTAACATTTTTGGCATTAATAGGTAGGACGTGGTTGTTTTTCTGGCACAATTTAAGAATGTGTGGTGGGATTTTTATCAGTTTGAATGGAAAACACTAGCGAGTTTATGCAGGCGGAGGGCGAGCCTAGAAACAAGGAGTATAGATAAATAGTGTGTATATATACGTGAAAATTTCAAATGGGGTTATTACAAATTTTATAATTTTTTACATTATTATTTTCGACGTAAGCTCCACGTACCACCGAATTACGTACCACAGTTTGAGAATTACTGTTCTAAGAATTACCAATTTTACTTCCCCCCCCCTCCCCCCAGTCGCATAGCGGCATGTCTGCGAAATTACAGTGCTAGAAACCGGGTTTAGATACTCGTGGTGGGCAGAGCACAGATAGCCTATCGTGTAGCTTTGTGATTAATTACAAACCAACCTATTTAACTAGATATATGATATCGTCGTTGTATCATTAACGTATGAAAAATTGTTAATTTATTCACAATAAGCTAAACTATTACAATATTAGCATGTATTCCTAGATATTTGAGCAACGTAATGGTTAACAAAACATTAAACTTTTCTCAATCCGTTTTATAAATTTCCAGTATGGAAGCGTTTCCAATTTATAAATTATTCACCAACATTTCAAAAAATATTCTTATTGTTGTAGCGGTTTCAATAGTTGGGGTGAGGGTTTCGATTTTATTATCCGGTAAAAATAATGCAAAATCCAGTCCATTTAATGAAAGAACGGCAGTTTATTTCTTCAAAAGTTATAAAATTTCAAGTTCTGTAATAAATAACTTCAACAAGTCACTTTCTTATTAACTTATCCCGAGTCTCACTCTAACAAGTCACTTTCTTACTAACTTATCCCGAGTCTCACTCTAACAAGTCACTTTCTTACTAACTTATCCCGAGTCTCACTCTAACAAGTCACTTTCTTACTAACTTATTTTAATTTAACTTATCTAACCGATTTTATTGTTCAAAGAGTTTCTTATACTCCCAAGAAAGTTTTAGACATTAAGATACGTACTCATTAGGTGAAGTTAACCCCCCCCCCCCTCCGCTGGCGAAAGTCTGATTTTAAAATGTTTAGTGCTCTCATTTATTAATTCAAAAATAAATTTTAAAGGTTAGCAACAGTCATGTTATAGCAGTTGTATATACAATCAATTTTTGATTCAGTTAAGTTTATTTATTCATTTTCAACAAGAAGGCACGCGTGGATGTAAACAGCATACAAATATAACTGGTGGTTATGTGTATCTACTTATGTACTTAATTTAACTACAAACTAAATGATATCCAATTGAGGTGTTTACCCACGTTTTACACTAATAAAGAAAACGCTATGCTCAAGGACGTTTGTCAGTTTAATCTTTGATACCCTATATGGTAAGCAATGGAATTAGTTCAGAACTATTACAGATTATGACAGTGTAACTGATTCATAGCGTTTATAACCAAGTAACACTGTGTTAAGTAAAGGAAACTAGTGGTCTTGATCTATCTAGCATGCCCAGGGGGTTAAATACTCGTTCCCCATCTGCCTTTCTAAGTAGCTTATTCTTAAAGAACCCGGCAACAGTGTCGTTGCTAGGCCTAGCTACAGCCTGACCACACCTTAGTGTTTCCGGTCGACAGTAGCCGGTTGTATAACACCAGAAAAAGGGGAGCTTTTGTTGGCTTAATTCAAAACTGTGGTGCTGTCGGGCACCGTGCCATCTGCACCGTACAAGAAAAGTTAAACGTTTCCCAGTTCCATAGAAAAATAACTAGGCAATATATATATATATGTAGACTAAAGATCCTTAAAAGATGTTATTCTTCTATATAAAATAAAAAACAATATTAAGAAAGTAGTTGTGACTATTGCTGAGGAAAAGCTCAACAAACTTGTGTCTTAAAGACACACACACCACCTTCGGTTACAAAACATTTTATGTATATGTTTACATACTGTTTTGGTATTGAGAGATTCTTGATGAAGAGCTGTTAGTCTAACTATGTGTTTATTATACACTGACTCGAAAAAATACTACATCCTGACCTTTTGTAATGTACAGACAAGGAAAACATAAGGGAATATAATCATATTTTTAGCTGAATAGGGTTAATGGCACGAATGGATATAAAATTGAAAAAAATATGTTATTTACCTATTTTCTATCCCAGCTGTTTGATTTCTAAAAGATAGAAAAAACATAGAGTAAGAAATTACTTTGATAATTCTCTGTTTCTCTTTGTCAAGTATCTTGTGAATGGTAATCATCTAAACCGTAATACAATTTACAGTAACATTAGATCCCGCATTAGTGTTTAACTGTGCTTGATAGATTTTTATTTAAACATATCTGAAAGAAAGCTTTTTAACTATAGATAAAAATAAATGCAACTTTATTTATTTCGAACACCCATGTGAAACAACAACAAGAAAAAAAAAAAGAAATGCAATAGTTTAAACTATAAGTAACATAAAAGCAAGTTAACGTCAGATCTGTTAAGCATTAGGCGTTTCATTCTTAACAACCAACTTGATTACGTGTGGTCATGTCCTACACCTGGTGAGTGTGTAAAGAGAAAATTAAACCGACGGACACATGGACACTCTTGAACTAAGAACACCCTGAAGTGCAATATTAGGCGTTGAGCAAAGACAGCACGTGTCTAAAAAATACAGTAACATTTGCTTAAAGTGTATTTGTTGAATATAAACCTCACGATGAGAGTTAGTAAACAGAGGACACATACGATAAGTTAGGCTTAACTGGAAGGCCTAGCTCACCAGTGTACATACATAAAGGTTCTTATCGTATCCCCCTTCCTTTCATCTGTATTAACATATCAATTGATACGTGGGTGTTAGTGGCAAGACAAACTTGTCTAAACATAGTGTTTGAGAGCTTTTAGGTTTAAAAAGGATGTTTGTTTCAACCCAATACGTAATCGGTTTATCAATTTTCACGAGGGCGTTATATAACAGCTTGGGACCATTTCAATAAATCAAAGCAACAGCTCAAGTACGTGAATGACCAGCACACCTGAAGTTTCTTTTTAGAACTTTTAGTGATCATTCAGTATGAACTATACATACATTACTTTGTGTGTGTCCCCCACCCCCACCAAAAAATAACAACAATAAAGAAGCGAAAGGAAGAGGAGACAAGACGTTAGTGTAGATGGAGATTTAACATCTTCTGAAACGTGGGCAACCACCTAGACTATACATGAATAATTCTCTTTATCTTCTTTATATACCACAGGAATATTTTTTGAAACATTTAACAGTCTCTAAAATGAAGATGGGAAAATTAAAGCGTTAACGGTCTGATCAACTTGGAAATACTTATGGACTTAATATTGCAAAATGTGCGATTTAATTTCTCTGGCTATTACAGCCAAACATCACTAACAGCGAGGGTACCAATTTGCTGAGACAATGTATTCTAAACTTTATAATTTAAAACAGTTAAATTAGCTGAATTCATTACTGGATTAATATTTAGTTCTGATCTATATAAGTAGCTCGCTTTGATCAGAAGATAATACTAATTACGTAGTGTTTTACAGTTGACTTTCAAAAGTATGGTTATCTCTCAATCAATTAACGTTAGTTTTAAGCTTATAAATACACAAACATAAGAAATAGTATAATATGAATTGCATATTTACACGCAGTATTTAACAGGATTAGTTTGGTGTATCTGATTCATCGTTTTAATTTCATGTTTGAGCACTTTGCAAACGTGTTAAATCAAAACTCTAAAACTTTTACGTAGATTTTTTTTTCTCTTAGAATAATACTTCTTTCGTGTTATAAATTTATCTTGCGTTATTACAACAACGTCTATCTTAAAAACAGGAAATAGCCAATTGTACCAGCGCAAAGCAAAGCTACAAACTGGATATAAACAGGTTTCCTGCGAGAACCGTTAGACTTTCTCAGAGAATAAAAATAAAAATTTAGAAAAAAAAAAAGACACAACCTGTATAATTAACACATATAGGTGCATATTTATCCTTTAGGAACAGTACATATTCTACACATGTCAGCCATCGCAGTTTCCGGAAGTTTGGGTTGCTATGAGCGTCTCGCGGAACAGATTACCTCGTGCGTCGCCTTAACAACAGCTGCACATGAAGACAGCAGACGGCGTCCTTATCTGCCCAATCTTAGGTTTAAAGATATTTGTTATCACGTTCAAGACCCCCCCCCCCTTCTATGTAAACAAATAGACGCAATTGTAATCTCGATTACATTACAGATATTTTTCAGACAAACAGCCAGTTCATTAAATTAAAAGAATATAGATTTGATTGCAATTCCATTTCCAATGGTTTAATAAATGGCTTTTCAGTAAATTTTACTTGGCAAGCAAGATGCGAATGACTTATAGGTATTAACTAAATTTCAGAGCACAAATTCGTTATATCTCAACATTTTTTAATACTTCCTCTTAAACCAAGTCCTTCTCATACAGGAAAAGCTATGCGTGCTGCTGTTTGACCACCTGGTGCCCAGCTGGTCAGCACGTCTTTTGAATCGCCGTACAAGTTTCCTTTCTTCTAAGAATAAAAAGGGTTAGAGTTACAAAACTAAAGTAACAGACGACAGGATATTTTTACATCTGATAATTTTTAGTCAGCAAGACCCTGTTAACATCCCATTCAATAGTTTATGTTTTTCAAGTTATTTCACATAAACTAATGCATGTATTTCTTCACCAAAAATACAAACTCTTGTATTCTAAAATATTTGTTACTATCGCCAAATTCAAATTTAGACCAGATCATTGTTTTGTAAATCCACAAGAAGGTCGACGTTTATAGGTTCCGAGATAGAGTGGCCACCCTTCACAAGTTATAAAATAGGCTGTACACCTAGATTAGTTACAGTAGCCAGTCTTCATAGGTTATGAAATAGGCTTCACATTTAGATTAGTTACAGTGACCAGTCTTCATAGTTTACGAAATAGGTTATACACCGAGGTTAGTTATACTAACTAGTCTTCATAGGTTATGAAATAGGCTTCACATTTACATTAGTTATAGTGACTAGTTTCATAGGTTACAAAATAGGCTTCACATTTAGATTATTTTCAGTGACTAGTCTTCATAGTTTATGAAGTAGGTTATACACCGAGGTTAGTTATACTAACTAGTCTTCATAGGTTATGAAATAGGCTTCACATTTACATTAGTTATAGTGACTAGTTTCATAAGTTACAAAATAGGCTTCACATTTAGATTAGTTACAGTGACTAGTCTTCATAGGTTATGAAATAGGCTATACACCGAGGTTAGTTATACTAACTAGTCTTCATAGGTTATGAAATAGGCCTCACATTTAGATTAGTTACAGTGACTAGTTTTCACAGGTTATGAAGTAGGCTTCACATTTAGATTAGTTACAGTGACTAGTCTTCATAACTTTCGAAATAGGCTATACACCGAGGTTAGTTACAGTAGCCAGTCTACATAGGTTATGAAGTAGGCTTCACATTTATATTAGTTACAGTGAATAGTTTTCACAGGTTATGAAGTAGGCTTCACACCTAGATTAGTTATAGTAGCCAGTCTTCATAGGTTATGAAATAGGCTATACACCGAGGTTAGTTACAGTAGCCAGTCTTCATAGGTTATGAAATAGGCTTCCACCTAGGTTAGTTACAGTAGCCAGTCTTCATATGTTATGAAGTAGGCTATATACGTAGATCAGTAACAAATGGCATTCTTTATGGAACATGGACCAGTAGGCTAACTAACCAGAATACTACACCATGGCTATTACTTAAGTTTTACACAAATGGCACGACGGAATTATTTGCCAGGATGACTTGAATAGTTAGGACGGAGTTCTTCTTCCCCACTCCAATCTGATGTGGTCTTCCAAACTCCAAATAAAACTTTGTATGATTTTCAGGAATTACTTGGAGATACTTACTACATATCGTAACCATTCTAATAACTTTACCTTTTAAAAAATTAAAAAATATCGTTTAAACTGAGATTAGAAAGGAATTTAGTGACCGATTTTGCCTAGATGGAACATAGTGTAGTAGAATGTTAACATACACAAAATAGGATAAATTAAACTCAATTGTGATTGAATAGTTATGTATATATATATATATATACATACATATGCTATTATGTAGTGGTGATGCAAGTGCCACCCCTACTATCTTGTTTGCATTGTTTTGAAGGATTGATATTAACCATCCCTACATTTATTTCCTTATTATGTAGTGGTGATGCAAGTGCCACCCCTACTATCTTGTTTGCATTGTTTTGAAGGATTGATATTAACCATCCCTACATTTATTTCCTTATTATGTAGTGGTGATGAAGGTGTCATCCCTACTATCTTGTTTGCATTGTTTTGAAGGATTGATATTAACCATCCCTACATTTATTCCCTTATTATGTAGTGGTGATG